AACTTACATTAACTTATTTAAATAATAGCTGATCCTGCACAAGGCTTTCTTCCAGTTGTGCTTCTCTCCTGTGTGACAAAGGAGGGGCACTGCTGGGTTACCCTCTGGTGCCAGTCACCCATGTTGTGTATTTACCATTAAGAAGCCAATACGTACTCACCCAACCTTTCAGAATGGCTCAGAGTATAGAGCTGCTCAAAATCCCCCCTCAGTACTTCTAATAAAATCGACTATTTCAATAAAGCTGCAACTGCTTTTGAAGTTTCCCACTGGTACCATCTAGGAGTCTTGGTTTCAGGCTTAGCTGATACCACTGAAACAGGCAGCAGAGCATGAAAGAATTGTTTTGGTTAAAATTCAAACTATAAATTGCTTCGGAGGTACTGCAGAATTCTATTAACACGACATATCTGAGAACTGTGTGGGATATGAATCTGAGATATTTCCATAAAATGGAAAGAGGACCAAAGAAGGAGACAGAAGATGAATATTCTTTATTTTACTCCAGCAAATTTTAATTCCAATCCCAGGGCAGTTTGTATAGATGAACTAGATATATAAGAGGGTAGAGAGATAGAAATATAGATACAGACAGTGATAGATGAGAGAGAGAAAGAGAGAGAGATTCTTCTCCTCTCCCCTAAAAACAGGATTAAAGGCTGAATTTTAGCTGTTTCTCAAATTATTTGTCATTATGAAAGAAATCAGGCAACAGAGGGACGTGCTACGAGAAACAGATGTGGAGAACTCAGAAGACATGACATTTGGCCTGCATCACAATTATACCTATACCACATACCTTTTGGATGTGACTTACCTGTCCTTCTCTGAACAGCACTAAGTAAAATCCTGCCCATTGTAATATATAATTCCTATACTTAATCTCTCATTATCCCAATACTTGTAGCATAGATGGCAACAGGCACTTTCTCAGTATAAAAGTACCTTACCTAAACCACATCTAATCATACACATGTATGTATGCAATACATATGTAGCAGTAGCTATTTTTGCACAGTAATAATTAGAGATGACACTCATTTTATCTGTTTGATAACACTAAAATTTTCCCTCTCAGATTCCAACATCTAGATTTTTCAAAATAAATTAACCAGTATTAAATTTAGTATTTTTAATTATTAACAAGAATTCTTTTTTAAAAATCAAAAGAAAACTGCTCATAAAACAAAAGTAAATATTTAACTCTAAATAGTGACAATTGCTATCTATACTATTAATCTATGACATAATATGTTTAACACAAAAAACTATGCTGTTTTTCTCTATGAGACTTCATGTGCTTCTCAGAATTATTGTGACCTCGCTAAATTGTAATCCTGAATAATCTCCCTCACCCCACCCCACCCCTTACCCCATCAAATCACTCCATTCCATTGCTAATATTAGCACACTAAGTCACCATTACCACAAAAAGGGTCATAATGGACCGATATTTTGGGACAAAGAAAAACTGCCTATTTTCTCAACAAGAGAATTTAGACATATAACTCGTAATACTTTTTTCTATTTCAAGTAAACGAGGTCACTTTAAAAACTGATGACAAACACTCCCATCACTCAAAAATTGTTCATGCATAAAACACTGATCATTTTCTTTTGTTTATCTAGAACTTGTGGCTATTTGATATTGCCAAACCCTCTCTTACACACTGATAGAGGGAACTATCTAAAATGTCTAAAAGGCAAGAAATGAAGCAGGCAGAATGTTATACCACAGTATAGGGCTACTTTTAAAAATTGTTCAAAAAAATAACAAGCTGAGAAGAAAGCAGACTAGACACGTAGTGGCTGGTGGGAAAGCCATTTTAGGACTGAAAAAAAAAAAAGCTATGAGCAATCCACAAAGCAAATGATCAAAAACTGAAAGCAAATACCAAAAAAAAAAAAAGACAGTAAAAGTTCATTGAATTGGCTAAGTTGGAATTCAACGTGAAAAGTCTGAATACGCAAAGAGTTCACGTTAAATATGGCCTTATTATTTTTAAGTACAGTTAATCCCAAGTTTTACCACATTGGATGCCTGGATATCATGTCAAAGTTAACCACCATAAAGTAAACTGTATTTTCCCAGTATAACAGTGCTATAATTGGGGGTATATTCCTGAGCAAAGACTTCCCATTGAATAAGTTCATAGATGTGAAAAAGAATATATGACAAAAAACAGAGTCTAGATACTGCTCCTATAATTGATGGCTGGAACTTGAGTACATTAAATGCTTATTTACTTGTACTCAAAATTGGTCTCACTACTTCAAGTCTCTTCTCCACCCCAATCCATCCTCCCACACAGCTGCCAAAGTGACTTTCCTTAAGCCTAGAACTGACTATGTCATTACCCTACTCAAACAACTCCAATGAGGTAAGTAGTATTATTATCTCCATTTTGCAGATGAACAAACCTAGGTTCCAGATGCAAATAACTTGATTATTATTATATTGCTAAGTAAGAGCTACAGGGATATGAACCTAGTTTTCCTACTTTGAAATCCAGCATTCTCTCTACTATACTATGTTTGTTTAATTGAATTGTCCAGATACAGAGGCTGATACTTTTATAACATATATCAAGACACTTCATACTTATACACTTAACAGATGAGAATTCTTCTTCACTTGAATTAAAATATTCAATCAGATGTACTAAAAATAGGTATGAATAATTCCTAAATAACTCTATTGAACCCAAAGCATAACACTACCCCTTTTACACTATTAATATACCTAACATAACCTCTCATGTAATTTAATATTCTCTGAGATTTAGCCAACTCAAAGTGAGCTCTCTTCACTACCATCTTCCAACCCTCACAAGTTCTCAGCATCATCATTCATTTGTTTCTCCTTCCCTCATACCACAAACCTTCATAACCTAGCCCTCTCCTACCCAACAGTTCGTCTCTCAGCTCCAAGCATTTTCTCTGACTGTCCCCCATGCCTGGAACACTCTCCTTCCTCTGTTCTGACCACTAACCTCCCTGGCTTCCTTTAAGCTCCCACTAAAATCCCACTTCTGCAGGAAGCAATCCTTAATCCCGCTGATTTCCAGTGCTTTCTTTCTTTTAATTATTTCCTATGTATCCTGTATATAGCTTGCTTTGTATATATTTGTTTGCCTGTTGTCTCCCCCATTGAACTGTAAGCACCTTGAGGGCAGCAGGGACTGTCTTTTTATTCTTTTTGTGTCCTCAGCACTCAGCAAAGTATCTGGCACATCGTAGGCAATTAATAAACATTTAATGAATTTAACTGAATTGAATAAAGAAAGACTATCCCTAATACCATGCAACATCTAATTTCTCTAAATGTGCTTTTGATTCAATTTCCTCCTGACTCTAGGACTACAATCCAACAACAGTCTTGCTTCTCTCCTGAATCTTCCGTTTCTCCCTCTTCACTGGCTCCTTATCTGTCTACAAACACACTCAGGTGTGCTTCCAAACACACCCAAAGCTCTCCTACCTCCATGACTTAGTGCACACTCTTTTTTTATGCTAGGAAATTCCATAGCTCCTTCCTTCACCTATATGTCTCTAAAAGCCCAATTCAAAACTATCTCTTCCATGGAACCTTCCCTGATTCCCCAATAATAATGATCTGTTCCCCTCTTGGATCTTACAATGCATTTCATTTTGTACTTAATATACTCTATCATATAATATTTTGTAGTTTTGTTATCTCTGCATGTTTCCCATCTCTCATTAGGTGATAAGCTGCAAAAAGGCAGGTACCATGCCCTTAAACTTTATATGTATTGCCTTATTCCAGCACTGACCGTCTTTTGTACGCAGTAAGGTTTTGATATATATAGGCTGAATTTAATTGACTATAGTAATAAGGTAAATTCTGGGCTAGTTTTTCTTTGAATTATCACAAATGCCACTCATTGGAATCAACGAACAATCATTTGTTTGGCACTCTGCTAGGTTCTAAGGATATAAGACAGAAGTGAAATAATCTGTTTTCTCAAAAAGCTTACATGTCTCAGAGGAATACAGAACTGACACACATAAGTGTATACACACACACACACACACACACAGAATAAGTACAAAATAAGTACAATTCATCCTTGGATAACTGGAAAGGAGGGTACTAGCAGCTGGGGATGCTAGATCTAGAGTTTGATCTGTGACTTGAGGGAAATAAGAAATTCTCTGTATTCCTCTGAAGAATGTAAGGGAGAGGTGTGAAAAAGGAGTGCATTCTAGGCATGGCCAATGGCCAATGCAAATGCATGGAGACAGGAGATGAAGATGGAATGTCATGCATGAGGAACAATGAGAAAGTCAATTTGGGTGGAGCACAGACTATGGAAAAAAGAAGTAATGTCCAAAGAGGTTCAAGAGATAGGATGAGGCCAGGTTGTGAATGGCTTTAAAAGCCAACCAGAAGAGTATATTTTATCTTAAAGAAGAGAGGGAGCCACTGGAGTTTATTGAGAAGGGAAACAATATGGTAAAATCTTCACTTAAGGAAAGTTTCTTTGGCACCTATATGGAAGATGAATTGGTAGTGGAAGAGAGTCTTGAAGTAGGGAGAGCAATTCAGAGTCCAAATAAATGAACATTTAATACATTCAAATTTTAACTATCAATTATAAGAGCAGTATCTAGGTTCAAACAAAAGGTGTTATTCTCTTTCTAAGAAAATCTCTTAACATCTATAAGTGAAAAGAAAAGATTCTAGCAAACATGGCACCTTCTACCATGGAATGAGAAAGCGAGTTCCTAGTATTCAACCAAATAAGGGCGTACTAGCACCTGTTACTCTAATCTCACCATGATTTTATGTAGAGTATTAGGAGCCTCTTTTTAAAAATATTGATATATTTCTATCTATCTATCTATCTATCTATCTATCTATCTATCTATCTATTAATGTACAACTATGACCCTACTTTAGATAATAAATTAGAATGGAGCACTTCAAGGTCACTCAAAACATATACTTAGCCCCCAATTCCCCATGTTTACTTTACCTTAAATTGAAGGAAGGTGTAGCAAAACCTGGTTTAAATAACATTAGGTTAGGAATCAGGAAGTTTGCCTGGGGTCTGGTCTCAGGGTCAAGTCATCAAATGTTTTTTCTGAATCCACTTTGCCATCTGTAAAGTAAGAATAATGGTATGTTGTAAGGAGGGGATGAGAGATAATAAAAGTGAAAGGAAAACTGGGGCCCCTTACATTTGAAGTTTTTCAATGCGTTAAGGTCTCGAGTCTGTGAATCTTCATACCACACACACACACACACACACACACACACACACACACACACACACACAC